GGCGTTTTTGTGCCTTCTTCACGACTGTGTTGGTGTGTGTGGACCATGATAGATCCTTAGTGATGTGGACATGAGGACCTTGAAGCTCTCGACCCAGCTCCACTACAGCCCTGTCAGTGTGGATAGGGGCGTGCTCGGCCCTCCGTTTCCTGTAGTCCACGACCAGCTCTTTTGTCTTGCTTCCCGTCAGGAAGTCCAGGAACCAGTTGCAAAAGGAGGTGTTCAGTCCCTGGGTCCTGAGCTTAGTGATGAGCTTGGAGGGCACTATGATGTTGAACGCTGAGCTGTAGTTAATGAACAACATTCTCACATAGGTATTCCTCTTACCCAGGTCTAAGCACATACACACAGACACCGACACACACACACACACTCAGACAACGTCACACGGACCACCCTTGGATCAAATTGTATTTTTGCAAATTGCATCTCCAAATTGACTGTCCAAATTGTATATCTCACAACTCATATCTGGTATCTAGGGTACCAGCACCATTACAGAAGATGCCATAATATTAGTGATATTATAGTGACAGATCGTCTGTTTCAGACTGTTTTCCTCCGATAGACCAAAAGACGTGGAGCGGTACAGCGACTGTACACGGAGAGGGTGATCACTCTGTGACGATAAACAGTGCTATTTATACCCGTCAGGGATGGGTATGTCTGGTTCACCCCATGCCCATCTAGGCCCCGTAAACACATGCATTCCACAGTGTGGTCTGATACACACACACACACAAACGGGAGAGACACGCACACAGGCGCGCACAGAGACACACAGGCAGGAGCACACACACACACAGGCACTGGAAAGGAAGGACATATACACTAGCACACACACACATGCGCACACACACACACAACCTTCAGTGTGGTCTAATACAAAATACAAATCATCCACCCAGTGAGAGTTTGTCAGAGCGGCAGAACTGTTTGTTCCCTGTTTTCTCCATGCTGGTAAGTGATACTGTCCTCTAGTCGCTGGCTGATCTCGTCGAGGAGATATAGAGAGCTAGCTATCTGATAGCTCTCGATGCTCTCGAGTCGCTCTGTCTCTCTCTCTATTCTCTCTCTCTCTCTTCTCTCTCTCTCTCTCTCTCTCTCTCTCTCTCTCTCTCCTCGACCTTTTTTTGTCTCTCTCCATCTCTCTATCTCTAAGACCAGTATCCAGACTAAAGCAGGTTTAGTCAGTAGTTATTAAGATATGCACAGTGAGTCTGTTTTCTATAGCTACTGAGTGAATAAACTGAGAAGTGCCTAAAGACCCAAATCTCCATTTCACTCATCAAAGCTCACAAATTACTTTCTCCATCTCTAGGTGTGTGTGTCTGAACTAGCCAGCCAATCTGCCTTAGGCCAATACTTGCGGCTGTAATGGCCACAAAACTAATCATTTCTCTACTTGTGATTTCCATACTCATCTGCCTGGGGATTTTCCAGCTAAACCTCTGACTAAGAGAGAGGATAGGACTTATAATAACAGGGTGAAAACAGTGCTGACCATTCAGACAAAGGATATATAGAGGATCTAACTGCAATGTCTCCCATTGGTTTAAAATGAGCGAGTTAATGCTTGTTGTTTAACAGTTCATTCCTCTGAGGAAGATCTTCAGCAGGATCTGAGTAACAGGTGAATAAGAGAATAGGTTATGTACAGTAGAAACCAATGGGAGCATTGCATCATCTACTAAAAACACACCATAAACTAATAACATAATTAATCCACAGCACACACAGCTAAAAACCACAACAGGGAAACAGTGGTCTCAAATACAAGAAACATAGCAGGTCAGAAGTTAACACAAATTCTATCTATTGGTCAACACAGCGGTGGACTCTTCCCTCAGTGAACAACAAACATAAAACAGCTGTGATTGGACAAGCTCAGCAGAGGCTCAGCACAAAGCATTGTGGATATCCAGACTCCACACTTCCCGTCACCATTTACAATTGAGTAGGCCAGAGAGGAGGGGAGAGTGGAGAGGGGTAGGGGGAAGGGCTACTTGGTGGTTTGGGCTGGTAGTAAATTTCTTTCAAGTCACGGTGGGCACACAAAGCATTGTGGGTACCCAGTCACCCCCACCCCTCGTCCTTGATGGAGTGAGGGAGGGGGAGGAGGGGCAGGTACTGCTTCTTTTCTCTAGCGTGACGGAGTTAGGCACGCAGTGCCTGGGTGTGTGTGGTACTCTGCATATTTGTGTATGAGATATTCATTGTGTGTGTGGTACTCACGGCGGGCCCAGCACTAGGCCAGGGGCCCATCTGAGTCTCCTGGACCCCTGAGACCACTGTAGAGAGAGGGACAGCCCAGTAGGGCCTGTATGGAAGGGACCCTAGACAGGGCTGCCTATGTGGGTGTAGCCAGGACCACAGCCGGGGTCTTGCTCGGTACCATGTCCGTGACCAAGGGACCAACCTGACTCCCATATCTCCTTTCTGGGGCAGAGGAATGAGGTTGAATCGTAAGGTGACCATTTGAGATACAGTGTAAGATTCAACCCTAAGCTGCCTATCCATAAGCTAACTAGCCAGTTTACCTGGGGCTTAGTGATAGTTGCACCTCATTTCAGATGACTGGTCTCAAATGGGTCTCAGGCCTTATTGTTCAGGGCTGGTTGCTGCATCTGTATTGTTCTGAGTTGGCAGTTAGTCTGATACTCTGAGTGTTTGCAGGCCAGGCTCCAGTGATGTGATAAGTGTTAAATATGACTGTTAGAATCAGATTAAGCTCTGCTCTACTTCTGCTCTGCTATGCTATTGATCTGTCTCTCACAGGAGCAGCCGTATTTATAGGCTAATAGTCATTCTGTTGCTGATACTCATTCTGCTGTTCACAGCCTTTAAAACCACCAGCTGGACACACTAAAACTCTGGACTTTTACGGATGAGCACAAGTCCGGAACAGAATGTACTGATCTACTAATGAATGAATGAACAAATAAATGTATTGAATTGACCGAGCTAAGTTGTAGCCCTTTGGTTGATTTGATCATTTATTTAATTTAATTTTTTTAGTCATTTTAGCAGATGCTCTTATCCAGAGCGACTTACAGTTAGTGAGTGCATAATTATTTATATATTTTTTCATACTGGCCCCCCGTGGGAAACGAACCCACAACCCTGGCGTTGCAAACACCATGCTCTACCAACTGAGCTATATGGGACTATCATCCATCTTGATTATTTTAACATACTGTAGGCAACTACGCATAGCAGCGCTCTTCCATTCCTTATCAATAGCTTCTCCAAGGTGGCATTTAATTTGAAAACAACAAAGTTAGAAGAAGGAACAAGGAGCGGGAACAGTATTCCAATGGGAGTAGTTCAGGAGCACATAAATAGAAGACGGGTATAAAATGGCTTGTTTACAAATGGGCAGGCCAATTTAGGCAGACGCTAGGGAGAGGGAGGGAGGGAGGGAGGGAGGGAGGGAGGGAGGGAGGGAGGGAGGGAGGGAGGGACAGGTTCTCAAAAGAGAATCTCAATTAGGCCACTCTAAAGGTGTGAATGGAGAAATGTATGAGTGTGCTTTGGAGGGGTAAGTGTGTATGTGTGAGTGTTGATGGAATGTCACTGACAAGGCCTCTAGTAGTCTCTAGTAGTGTCTCCAGACACAGCTGCTTTTCTGGCCACATGTGCAGATGTGACAACCAGGTTTCGATCGGCTGCCTGCATGACTCGAGACTGTGTTAGCCCAATGCGCTAAAGCCTAAGCATTAGCTCTGGGTGCTAACACAAGTCATCATGTTCACCGAACCCACCTCCAAAA